AAGAGGGGGTTTGTTTTGGCGCCAGAGGTGGAGTGGTGGGGGTTTGTTTTGACGCTCCATGGCTGCCCCTATACTACTAACATTTAATCAATGTGGTCTGCTGATTGAGAAATGCCGGGTTTATAATGAGTCTTCAGTCTGTAGTCATTAGAAGTTGGCTACTGGTCAAGTCTACCGATTTATTAATTTCTATCAATTCCGACTCACCTATTATCTTGCAGACTCGTTTTCGATTCACTGCAATTCACTGACTAGTGACTACTGACTTATGTCTTATTGTAGACCCGGCAAAACTCGAAGATGAAGATCAAAAGTGGACTTGAAACATGTACGTGCATGTACGCATTAATACATACGAATGATACGTACGGATTGTACGTATCATATACGTACGAATCATATACGTATATATTGTACGTATCATATACGTACAAATTGTACGTACGAATTGTACGTACCATTGTATGATTCGTACGTATTAATACGTACGAATTGTATACATACAATTCGCGCAATTAATGCTTTCCAACCCTGTGACGTCACGTTCACTCGTGTGTCATCGCGTTTACCTTCGTAGTTCTTTTCACGTTCATGGCCGCAGTCGGACGGCCCGAATCATGGTGGAAATATACCAACCGGAAATGCGCTGGATTCTCCAATCTCTATAACCCGTGTTGGTGTGACATTTCGCTTAAAAACACATCTCCATAACCACATTTTTTAATTATTTGCGGCAAACACGTTTTATCAAGGCGGACAATTTTATCAGCTAAGTTGCATGTCTTTTTATATTTATTTAAAATAATATAAAAAATTAAGGAAAAATATCTTTGTGCATTTTCCTTTCTTCTTGTAGATAATAACGAACAAGAATTTTCAACGAGAGAGAGAGAGAGAGAGAGAATAAATCGAGTCCTTTTAAAATTTTGGCAGAAGAAAATAATAGTAATTAACGGACATTCTTTACATGATAAAATCCAAACATTAATAATTACTTTAATAATTACATTTACAATTACATTAATAATTCATTCAGTAGCCATTGGATTTAAATCCGGACACTTAGCAGACCAATCTACTTTGAGAATATCTAGACAATTGGCAAACCAGTTCTGTATTATGTGCGCCGTGTGAACAGAGCTATTGTCTCGCATGAAGATAATCTGCCGGTTCTTGTCTTCTAGGAAAAGTACCCTTGCAGAAAATATCATCACTTGCTCCAGAATTTCTATTGATGGTTTAATTAAAATGAAAAATTTTATAATTTTTGTTATGCATCCATCGTATTAAAAATGACCAGCATAACTTTTAAATGGATTTTCCCTCGTTGAAGTTATAAAGAGCTGGTCTTGTTCCACTGTAGTTTTGCAAGGTCTACTGTTTTCAATGATCTTTTAAACCAATTGTATTTGAAAGATTATCCAATAGTGCAGCAATTCTTCCTCTCTTAGCTTCACAAAGATTTATGAATGTATTTTCTCGTTCTTGCTCCATTTCAATCAATTTTGATTGAAACAGATTAACAGCCGATAAAAGTATCACAATTCATCAATTAATGCGATAGTATTTTGTTCACGCAATAGAATTTTCGTTGTCTTTGTTTTATTAAAACAAATGTTCTTGTCAATTCTTATTGAGTAAAATTGATTAAAATGGAGCCAGAACGGGAAAATATATTCGCAAATTTTTGTGAAGCTACGAGAGGAAGAATTGCTACACTAGCAGAAACTGGTCATAGTGTTCGTGAAATAGTAGAAAATGTTGGTTGCAGCACGAAGACTGTGTATTTATGGAAAAAAAAGTTCCGCGAACAAGGTCCAATGGGTTTAAAAGACCATCCAATAAATAACCGTAGACCTCGCAAAACTACAGCAGAACAAGATCAACGCCTTATAACTTCAGTGAGGGAAACTCCATTTAGAAGTTCTGCAGAGGCTTTAGCCGAAAATGACTTAAATATTTGCAAACGAATAGTTCACCACCGATTGAAAGGAAGTGGTTTAATATCATGCCGGCCGACGAAAAGGAGTGTGCTGACAGCAGAACACCGAAGACAGCGAATTGAATTTGCCAATCGCTACCTTAATAAGCCACAGAGGGAATGGAACACATGGATATGGCCGAACGAAAAAGTTATTAAATTTTCTACAAATTATCCTGTCAAACTTCCTACTTGTTTTATGCATCGGTCGAAATACTGGCTATAATGACTGGACAATAGTCATTTTTAATTCGATAGATGCATAACAAAAACTATGGAGTTTTTTTATTTTAATTAAACCATTATACGATAGTATTGCTACAGAAAGTGTATTTTTTTAAGTGAGCGATAGATAGAACTCTATTGAGAAGGTAGAACTCTAAAGAAAGTAGAACTATATTGTTTTGTTTATTGCTGACTTTATAAATATAAACTTATTAAATAAAAAAAACTTCATTTATGTCTTCCTGAATTTTATAGGTGTTTTCGTCCTCTGAAGACGGAAGATTATGTATCTGGCGACTTAAAGGAAATACACGATTAGATCCGCGTTATGTGGTTGTAGACCATCACAGCGGACGAATATCTTGCAGTTTTTGGAAATGCATGAGTGCAGCAGGCGTCATGGAAATTCATGAAACCTCAGCTCACATGACAGCAATAGAATATGTAGACATTCTAGAGGAAGTGATGGTGCCTTCTGCAAGGGCACTTTTCCCAGAAGCCGAGCACCCGCAGATTACTTTCATGCAAGATAATAGTTCCGTTCACACAGCGCACATAACACGGGACTGGTTTGCTAATCATCCAGATATTCTGAAAGTAGATTGGCCTGCTAAATCCTTGGATCTAAATCCAATAGAAAATGTGTGGTCTATTATGGTTAGAGGGTGGCGGTCAGGCCAAGTCAGAACCCGACAGACCTCAATCAATCATGTTCGCGCAACATGGAACAGTCTTCGGGAGAGGCCACAAATTTACTATAATCTAATAAATTTCATGAATGATCGATTGCAACAAGTCATAGAAAGGGACGGCTACTGGATAAGTTATTAATGTAAATGTGATTGTAATTATAATGTAATTATTAATGTAATTGATTGAATTTTATCATGTAAAGAATACCCGTTGATTAAATTATCCTCTTCCATCAAAATACTAATTCCCTTATAATAATACTATTCGTTCTCATTTGTCACCTGCAAAAGAAAAAGGAAATATTTTTCCTTAACTTAATTTCTGTATTGTTTTAAATAAATATAAAAAGACATGCAACTTATCTGATAAAATGTGCCCTAACAACACAGACTTCCAGGGGACGTCCTGAGGACATCCAAAGGACGTCCGTATGTCCTTTGAATATCCTAAGGACATCCTCAGGATATATCCTGGATAAAGTATGCTATTAGGGTGGTTATATGTTTAAGTGAAGTTTACAACTGTCAATAAAACTCATTCACACCAAAAAGAATTAATTAATTAATTAAGAGAATTAATCTAATCGTCTTTGATTCGCGCCATGTGAGATGTCACGTGAACATCGGCTGTGGTGTTTTGAATGGATTGGAGAACTCACGGATTTCCGGTTGCTCCGTCCTGCTATGACTATGAATGTAAAAATAACCGAGAAGGTAACACGCAGTGCCAAAACAGGGTTGGAAGGCATTAATTGCGCGAAGTGCACATGATAATGCATACTAAATACAAATATGTATGCACATTTTATTTTTAGTGCAGAAATTCTAACTTGTATAAAATTTCATTTTATTTGATTAAAAAGTAAATGTATTCATATTTATTAAAAAATACATACATATGCATGCATAGTCATAAATTATCCTTAATTTATCATTTTTTAACTTACCGACATCAAAAAACTTTGAAATTAAAAAAAATAGTCTACGCGTTGTTTGAAATCTTCAAATATTTTTGCACTTAAAATGAGATATAGATATATATTTGGACGTTGAAAAGACAGAAAGCGAAGATGTTGAGTATAAAAAGTGCATGCAACGCGAAAAGATCTAATAAAACGTGACTTGAGTGATGTTCTTTCTTTTGTAGATTTCTAAAAATAATACATTTTACAAAATTAAAGGAGAAAATGGGAGAAAAAATATTTATCAAATCTTCTAAAAGTGGAGTTTTTTTCGATAGGCGTACTCGGATCTGTTATTTCGTACAGTGCTTTTCTGAAGTCAAAAATCGAGCCCAACTTTTTCGTAAAAGCATCATGAACTCACTGGGATTTTGTCGAATTTTATAAGCTCGAGAGCTCAGCGAAATGAACTCCTACGGAACTTTTTTTGTTGAATCATGTAAGCTCCATGGGAGCTCAGCATTATAAACTCCCTAGGAGTTCATTTTGACAAATTTTATAATCTCCTCGAGAGCTCAGCGAAATGAACTCCTAGGGAACTTTTTTGTTGAATCGTGTAAGCTCCACGGCAGCTCAGCATTATGAACTCCCTGTGAGTTCATTTTGTCGATAAATCACAAATTAACGAAAAAACTAATAAGTTTTTACAGACTCCTTTAATTAGAACAATTAATAAAATCATGAAATATGTAATACAGGCGTCGACGCTGGTTATCAATTAGCGCAATTTTTCTTAATACAAAAATGTAAACCTTAACTTTGAACGTTTCCACTCATGGTTTCAGTCTTCATCAGCAATTTTTCATCTTAGCGCAACGATTGGAGTATTGCATGACAAAATATTTCCAAAGTTTTTCATCTCAAAAATTGAACCGTTTACTGTTTTTTGTGAGATAAGTCACATACTCACAAAGTTAGAAAGCTGAGTGGCAATGAGAACTCAAGCTAAAATTATATGAAAGATTAAATTATCGTATGTATAATTTGAAAATTAATAATCACCTCACCTCACACAGTCGACGCTTCTACACTGAACAATGAATTTCTCTTATGTAACATTTTGTAATTCTACACAAATAGTGTGAGTACCACTCGATCCTGCAAGTACACAATGGACAGGTCTTAATGATGCAAAGCTAGAAAACCCTATCCAATCATCAGGATACTGTTCCTTAAATATTTTATACAATTCTTTTAAATTGCACAAAATAAGTTTTTTTTGGATATGTTCTTTTTGACCATCCTCTTTTCGCATAGAAACAAAATCTTTTTTACCAGGCAGATTTACACTTACATCATCATTTTTATAAAATTCTATGACCTTGCATTTAGTTTCGTTCGATAGAGGTCGTCCTAAATAGAAGAGAACTTATTAGATGATTGAAGTAAAAGAAAAATATTTACCAAATGTAATTTAAGAATAAAAAGTTTGAAAACTTTACCTATTTTTCTCTGTGGCATCGACAAAGTTCCTTTTTTTTCTTTTAAAAGTTTTGACACTATTGCCATGTGTTTTGTAGCACCCATAACATCGCAAATCTTATTGATGCTCCAATCAGAAGGCAATAGAGTTAAAATTTGTAATTTTTCACTTCTAGTAGTACTCTCAGCCTTAAATTTAGCTTTGAGATTCTCTACAATATTTTGGTAATCAACTGAGTTCTGATAATGGTTAGATTTATCATCTATTTGTAATAATGTCGCAAATGTAGAGCAAATTTCGTTATATTTTTCACTCAAATATAATGGATTATTTATTGCATATTTATCAATTGGATTTATATTTAATAATGGCAGAGCTTCGTTAATTACAGGTAATTGAGTACCAAGACTCAACTGCGATAGAGTTCGAGTAACTTCTTCACCAGATAAAGATATTAATCCTTCAATATAAAAAATTCATGATAATTATTATTAAAGTAAATATTAATAATAAAACATTACAATGAAAAATAAAAATACCTGAAGAAAATGAATTGCTAATTGATACTGGTTCACTTATTTCACAGTTATCGGTTCCGTGAAAGTGTAAGCCAACTCAAGTCTACCACCAGGTGATATTCGTGTAATCAAATCTTTATTGTATTTACAATCATTATACGTTTCGATCCTTGGATTGGATCCTTTTCAATATCGTTTCCTTATTATTAATTAAACATCACTGTGTTTCCAAATACACTAATCAAACAATACAATACTGTTGTACATTAATCATTATAAATAATAAAAAACTTTTTACATTTTAAATATCCACTTACATGACATATTATAATATAACGATCCTCGTATTACTTATTATGTCGCTCATCAACAAGTAAATGACCCGTAGCGTGTATCTTATTATATGTATATATGTTATCTCTAAGTATATGTTCGCAAACAAACAAACTCACAAGATAGGAAACTCTTATTATTTTAACAAACATTCATACGCCGAATTCAGTCTTTCCGTGTCCGTTTGTAGATTCAAACTGTTCTTTTGTCTTTTAATATGAATCATCTCCGATGTAAGTCTCTTGTTTAAAATTCTTTCTTCATCCAATATCTCTATTCCATTCCAGTCAAATTCATGTGAAAATTCCAATCTATGTTCTGTAATTACCGGCATCGTTATATTATAATATGTCATGTAAGTGGATATTTAAAATGTAAAAAGTTTTTTATTATTTATAATGATTAATGTACAACAGTATTGTATTGTTTGATTAGTGTATTTGGAAACACAGTGATGTTTAATTAATAATAAGGAAACGATATTGAAAAGGATCCAATCCAAGGATCGAAACGTATAATGATTGTAAATACAATAAAGATTTGATTACACGAATATCACCTGGTGGTAGACTTGAGTTGGCTTACACTTTCACGGAATTTATATACACGAATCGATATACTGAATGATCGTTAATATGTTATAAATTATCGTCAATTTTAAAAAGATATATCTGCGAGAACAATATGTGTCTTGTCATTTCGACAGTCGGTTAAATAATGATTGCTAAACAAGTAACATAGCGGTCAATTTGAAGACAAACAAGTTTATGACATATATTATATTGCGAACAAGCCTTAAAGTTTGTTGAGAATTTCAATGTATGCATGATTTAAACTAATGGTATCATTTCGTAGATTCAGCCCATTGATTTGTCGATTAATATGCATCATCTCTGATATTAACCTTTTATTATAATAATTTTCTACATCCAATATCTCTACGTTTTGCCAATCAAAGTCATGATCGTTTTGCAACCTATATTCTGTGATCACTGAATAAGTGGATGTTTTACTATGGATATATGCTTTTTGTGTTCAGAAAGTCTGGTTTTTAATTTTCTCCTTGTTTGTCCCACATAGGAAGCATCGCAATCACGACAGTTGATCTTGTAGACTACATTCCTTTTTAATTCATCGTTTAAAGGATCTTTATGAACCTTAATAAATTGATTCAGCTTGTTCAAACTAAAAAATGAAACCCTATGGCAAACCCCATTAATTGCATTCTTGAATTTATTAGATATTTTTTCCAAATAAGGTATGGAAAACTATTTAACACGAAAGATTGCTGATGAAGACTCAAACCATGAGTGGAAATGTTCAAAGTTAAGGTTTACATTTTTAGTATTAAGAAAAATTGCGCTAATTGATAACCAGCGTCGACTCCTATTGCCTGTATTACATATTTCATGATTTTATTAATTGTTCATTTTGTCGAATTTTATAAGCTCCTCGAGAGCTCAGCGAAATGAACTTCTAGGGAACTTTTTTTGTTGAATCGCTTAAGCTTCACGGAAGCCCAGCATTATGAACTCCCTGGGAGTTCATTTTATCCAATTTTATAAGCTCCTCGAGAGCTCAGCGAAATGAACTCCCAGGGAACTTGAACGGAATTTTGTGCTGTGTGGGAAGCATTTCCACTCAAAATAATTGCTGCTTATAGTTGCTGAAATTTTGTCATTATATACTTAGTATAAAATATATATACATAAATTATTATTATTATTATTTATTATGTATACACATAAGTATTTTAATTGTAGCAATTAACCTGAATCGACTTTTAAATCTGTATTATTTCGTTGACAGGAATTAAGCCACTGTTGACGAATTGTGGCTTCTTTCGGAAAACGGAAAAACTGGATATCTTTTGTATCCCTTTTGTACGTGCGACTTTTACAATTTTTCACGCAACATGGCGGCATTGTGGCAGCATGTACCTTCTTTTCTTTTTTTATTTTTTAAGATAGAAAACTCGATTTTATAAGAACAAAATATTAAAGAATTATCACAGTAAATTAGAACTAACCAAACCCTCAGCCAATAGGTTAGTTGACTGTTAGAATAAGGAATAAGGACGATCCTCCCTCAACGGAATGATGCTACCACGGCCGTCGACGACTAAGAACGGATTGAAATCCGAATAATATGATTTAACGTGTAACTTACCCTGTAAATTCGGTTACAAATTCTGTTGCGGATCGTTGCGGATCATGGATGAAGCCATATTGTTTTTTTGCATTTGAGGTAACTTTCTGATTGGTCAACACTGCGCATCTCGGGAGTGAAACACCTTATATTCTTACATCATGGGTTAGACATGAAGATGTGTCAACCAATCAGAAACTTGTCACATCAATTGAATTGATGCAGCAAACTATGCTAACGATGATGGAACAATTATCATTGTTGGTTAAGAAGAATACTGATGACACGACAGTGAGCAGTAGTATTTCTAGTCCAGTTACAACTGTTCGTGTTACACCAGTACACGATGAGCCGGTTACAACCAGATCAAGCAAAAGTACCGATCATGGCCCACATTCCAACGACCCGAGCTATTACGCTGTTAGCCTCTCAGATTGCCTCATTTGATGTGTCAGAGGATGAAAACATTGAATCTTGGATCTGCAGGATTGAGCTTGTGGCTAGGTGTCATGGCGTCAATGAAGATGTTATCTTACTGGCAGCTACTAGTAAACTATGCAGTATGCAAAAGATTGGTACTTCATGGAGGAAGGACCAATTAATCTTTCTTGGCCATCATTCAAAGCGGTCATTTCAAGAAGATTTAAACGACGAGTCCCCTTTCATGTGGTTATGCAAAAAGTGGAGGCAAGGAGATGGAACTATGATAAGGAATCATTTCAAAAAATACGCAATGCATAAATTAAAGTTTCACAATTTGAAGTTGCCAGAGCGAGGCAAAATACAGCTGATCATAAACGGCATCAACAACGCATCATTGCATGCAACTGCTACAGCCTTACAAGCTCCACTTGTCGATGATTTCTTGGAACAAATGTACGAAGTAACGAGTTCATTTGTTGATGTGCGGAGGAAGATTTCCCCTCTCCCTAAGAAGAAGGAAGGACAGAAGCATTCTCCAACGCAACCGGAAAAATACCCTTCTACTGACTCAGAAAAGGATCTCTTTTGTGCCTACTGTAAGGCGGGAAGGGCACTTTAAAACTGATTGCATCAAGCTTTGTCGTAAAGAACAAGCTTCTTCAACTACCACTCCGAGCAACCTCCCAAACAAAGATTCCAAAAGGGCTGCCTCGCAGGTGGAATGCGCCGACGATGGGTCTACACGAAAGCTCGAGACTAGTAATTCTGTTGTCGAAATTAATTATATTGATCAACGTCCATGTAATTTGTATGCTCTTGTAGACACCGGAAGCTCTGTATCATTTATGCTATTATCAGCTCATAAATCGTTATTCGGGCAAAATTTTAAATTAAATAAATCTAATAAAAGTAGTTATAAGACATTGAGTAACACGGATATTAGAGTTGTTGGTTCACGAGCGTTGAATATCAGTCTGCTAGCTTTACCTAATACGGAATTTAAGGCAAACATGCCAATCGTTGATAATAATGAGTGGTCTACACATGTATTGGGAAGAGATTTCCTTTTCGATAATAAACTCACTCTCTTTTATAATCCTCACCAAGAATATTGTAATAAATTACAACTTTTGAACGAAGTAGCATCGATGGAAGTTTTTGAGGTAATAGACCAAGGCGTCAACCAGACGTTTAGTACTAGTACTGATTTCGGTATTGATATTGACAAAAAACTGCAAGTTGTTATTGATGAAGTCCAAAACACTTCCGTTCAATTAATCGAAGATGACTATAATATTAAAGTGTCATGAAAGACAATTTATGCGCCGCGTCGGTTTGCGCACGCCGAGTGTTTAGAAATTAGGAAAATCACTAATGATCTTTTGACTCGAGATCATAAAATCCAGTACTTCTCCTTATTGCGCACGAGTAGTTCCAATAAGGAAAAAGGATGGTCGATGGAGACTATGTGTCGATTTGAGACCTCTTAACGATAGGGTGGTTAAACAAAAATATCCTTAAGGATGGATTTCATTTAATAAAAATCCACTCAGAAAACACAAAATACTTTGCTTTTGCTACGCCTGATAGGCATTTTGAGTACTTAAGAATGCCCTTCGGTTATTGTGAAGCTCCAGCTGAGTTTCAGAAGAGAATAAATTTTATTTTGCAACCGTTAATTCGGGCAGATAAGGTCCTAGTACTTGGACGACATCCTTATTCCTTCTAAAACCATTGATGAAAATTTAGAGATACTTTTAAGCAAGCAACGTTACTGCCCAGATAGCAAAATGCTAGCAGTATGCCAGCAGTATGCCAGCAAACTTGATCATAACGTTACAGCAGATATCAAGTTGCTGCTTCCTCATTAAGCTTAGTTTCTTACAGCATAATCTGCCAACATAGAATGACTGTAGAAATGTAATAGAAATTGAGCAATCTTTGCTATAAGTATCGTGATGGCAAATACGTAGCAAATATTGGGCAAAGTTTGCTATTTCAAATACTAAAAGCAAAAAGACAGCAGAAATCAAGCATGATTTGACGTTACATTATGACAGCGAAATCGTGACAAGACTACAACACGAGTTACTATATCAAATACTGACAGCAAAACTACAGCAAATGTCGAGCACATCCTGCCGTCATGACGTGTTGCAAAAACGCGACAGATATAGAACGCGATTTTCCTTATCAGTTGATGAAAGCAAAAACGCAACAGAAATCGTACACGATCTGTCATCACATGTACTGACAGCAAAACTACAGCAAAAACCGAGTACAGCCTGCCATCACGACGCGCGACGTCACTGCAGAAAACACGCATAATAAATAATTTATATCATACATTTAACTTTTATTAACTAAATGCATTTTTATTAAAGAAGTATATTTAATCAGAACAAGATTTTGCTAAATAGAAATTGTATTTTTAATTTTTTTGTATCTTAAATAGTGTTAATAAATGAACAATTTTCGGTGTTGAGAGAATTGTTGCTCGGTTTTAAAAAAATCCATTTAATATTCAGAATTCTCTATAGGAATTGTGTTAGAAATTAAATCGATAAGAAAATATTACACATTTTTATTTTCACTAGCCGCGTTATGTAGTTTTTATATTTGCCCGTGACAGAAATTTAAATACGAGATAAATATTGATAGATACATCATCTATCGATAAACGGGAAAACTATGGTACGATATAACATGTGACGACAGATTATGCGCGATTTCTGCTGCGTTTTTATCTTCAACAACAGATAA